AGCTTGCGACCATTTTTTTCTGGGGTCGTAGATCGACTTCGATAGAAATCGCGTCGATAAGTTGTGTTTAAGTAATGATTTTACTATTATGAAGCGCCGTGTTTTTTGGCGGGATCCTAACTGTTTCCATACACTTGATCTAGGTCTCTTCATGCAGTTAAATCGAATTGTAGAAGTGAAAATTTATCTTTGTTTATTATCAGAAGTGGTTCTTCGTATACAACTTTGTATTTTTACGTAACAGAAAAAGATGTATCTACGTGGATAGGTTGCTTCCTAATCCGGATTTGATTTCCTTCTGAGCGATTGGTTTGTGATGAGTGACTGAACTCAGATCATGAGCTGCCTACGTGCCCTCGTCGAGGGATCAAGTCTAAACGTAGTTCGATTGTTTACTCACTAATTAGGGTCATATTTTTTGATTTGCTCGTGTACGTGAGTACGATTCTTGTTTTTCTTGAGGTTTCTTGGCCGGTCCTACGGGTTTGGCTTGATGACTTTGAAGCTTGAGAGGTAGCAGGTTCTAGAGTTGCTTCTGACTTCCTTTTAGGGAACTTCAGACATTGATGGTAAGTTGATGGTGCTGCTTTCATGCTGTATAGCCATGGTATCCCAAGGATCACTTTAAACGAAGCGGATCGATGTATGACGGTAAATTCGACGATTTTTCTCACGTCTCCAGCGGTTACAGCGAGCTCGATGGATCTGAGAGAATAGGTAGTCTCTCCTGCAATCCGATTAATGGGGTTCTTTCTTGTTTGAGGAGGGTTTGGTGAATCCCAATTTCTTGAATGCGTTGTAAAAGAGTACATCTGCGGAGCTTCCGGTGCCTATCATGATTCTGGATAATTAGCATCCTAGTATAACGAGTGCATCATCGTGCGGTTTATTGAGATTGGCGGTCTCATTTTTGTCGAAGGTGATTTCGTGATCGGGTTTGAAAAAGGTTCTTGTATGCCGATGCTACTTTCTGCTCTTCGTTGGTGCGCTTTAATGGAGTTGGCTGAGTTGTAGAATTTCGATCCTCCACAAATTAAGTTGATTCTTTTTACCTGTTTCTGATGGCGTGCTGGAAAGTGCCATTTTTTTGTTAGAGTCAGCTGGTGGTGTCCTTGCCCCTCGACAGGTTGGGTTTGAGTAGACGGGGGCTGTGATTTTTCTTATGTATCGGTTTTTCTAGCAGACATCGAATCTAATTGAATTTGTTGTTTTTCCTCGGCTCGTAGTGGTATTTAGTTGTTCGGTTGAGAGGAGGAGAACAAGTCTCATCGAGTTCGCCCGGGCCTTGTATCATCATCGTGATGTCAATACTTATTCGTTTCGCGGTTTGATTTTAGGACATTTTACGTTCGGACCCCCCATAGGATCATGTCAACACTTTTCTTTTGGGCTGGAGGCGGAGATTCTGGTGATTCTGGTTTGACTTCCCTACTTCGTTTTCCTTTACCTTTGGTTTTTGGGGTCGATTTTTTTCTTTTTCTGCGTTCTCGCCGTTCTCTTTGTTATCTTCCTTGTTGCGGAGTGCTGCGCGAGATTCTTTGGTTGAATGTCCTTTTCGTTTGTGGAAGGCGCAATGCTTGCTTAATTCATACGCCGATTGCTTATTCTGTGACGATGAATCAATTGCGTAGAAGTGGTGTCCTTGGGTAGTCTGTTCCTTCGGGGTATTTGGTTTTTTAGTTATTCTGTTCTTGTTGGTGTGGTATTGTTCTTTCAGGGCGGCTATTTCTTCCTCGAGAGTTGCAAAATAGGACGCACGGTACAGCGCATCGTCTAGCGAGGTGGGAGCTCAGACCGTCATTTCCTCCCTGAGCTTGGAAGAGAACCAGACTCCATTTTTCAGATCTCTTAGTGCGGCTACTTCGTTTAGGCTCAATATTTTCGATTTGAGCTCCTTGAACTTATTTATGTAAGTTCCCGGTGGTTTTAAAGGTGCTTGCTTGAGGTTCCACAGGTCGTCTTGGCAGGGCCTGTGAGATTTTCGGCGAAGAAGCGACAGTATCCCTCCTTCCTTTCTTCATCATTAAGATGCGCCCTAGACATAGCTAATCGGAAGGCTCGTACGTGAGTTTTCGGGTCGGAATTGCCTCAATATTCAGGGAATTTAACTTTACTGATTTCGTGTAGCCTTACACTGGTTATTCAATTTTTTAATGGAGTTTGGCGAGTCTCCTCGATAACTTGAACGATATCGGGGGTGGAGCTAGTTGCCATATACACGATAGCATGTATCCTTTTAAGTTTGGTGTCATTCTTTTCGACGTAACTTCTGAATGCTCATGCTTGGCTAGGGGATCTTTGGTCTTCTCCTTCTGGGTTTTGTGTAGTGGTCTAGAATGGTTGTAGCCCCCCCCCCCCCCGACAGGATCCAGCTGCACGGTGAATCCGGTTCGCTGAGCGCGTTTCCCCCCAAGGAGAATCGATCTCCCGAACTCGATGTTGTGGTGGAGATATTTGGACTCGGGGTTCCTCACGTCCTTCATCTGATTTGCTTCGAGTTTGAATCGGGTTGTTATGAGTCCTTGTATTCCATTTTCGACCTCGCCTTGACCGTTGTAATCCATACTTTGATAGATCGTTCTCTCCAGGGGAGTCTGCTGCGATTTTTCCCCCCGCGTAGCGTCTCGATCGGGCGATGGTTAGCTCAGATCCGGGTGTTGTTGGGTTGTTTCCCTGGGGTTCGCTCGGTATTCGGCGAGTTCCCTCTCAGTTCGTTTCAGGCGGTTAGCGATGGTTCGGTAAGCGATCTCTTCGTCGTCAACTTCTTCCGAAGTTTGGGTTAAGTGAGTCGGAGATCTCGGTCTCACTGGTTGAGTCAGCTCCTCGGACGATGTTCTCTCCGTGGTACAGTTCCAAACTCGATATCTGATTCGGTCAGTGGGTTTGTTTCGATCTGTGGCCGTACATTCGTTTATCCGTGTGTCGGTGTGTCGGTGGCTTCGCCGATGTACGTTCGTTTCTCTGATGGGGGTCGGTTCGGCCCCGAGGGAGGTTCCAGCGGGGTTGACATCAGTCGGTCTCGATCGGAGTTCTCGACGTTGGTTGCGTTGGGATCCATAATCGTGCTTAGAAATCCTAGATGGGTTTTTAGCAAGGGTGTTTTTCGTCTATCTTCCCCATAGTTGGCGCCAAAATGTAAATCCTAAAATCCACACTAAGTATTTTGTAGTGATCAAGAGTTTAATCTAGGGATGACAGATGATGTGGGAAACAATGCTCTTAGAACACAACGATACAATAAGAATTCGGTTGACAAAAATGGACTTTAATGAATGTGGGATTCGATACAAAGTAGTAAAACAAAATCGAGAACAACAATGAAAGACAAAGGTTATAAGCGAACTAAAAGTCTATGAAGTGAGGTCGATATGATAGTGATTTGCTCTATGGTTTTCCGTCCGTGCTCATACTCCGCTTTAGCTCCTTTTGATAGTCTTCTTCTCTCCTAAGCGTCTCCGCGATCTTTGGGATATTATTTTGACTTCGTCGTGTTCGATCGTCATCGAGCTCGTGATGAGCTTTCCTGGGCTTTGGGCCTACTTAACTAGATACTGAAATTGGGTCCAACAATCATGATCCGTTCTAACTATTCAATCATCAAGGTTCTAGTTAGCTACTCTAAAACACAAGCATTAAGATCAATCCTATTGATGAATACCACAACTTAAAAATTATATATTTAGGCTACTCCTTCATAATCTATGTGAACCCTAAATCTAACAATAGAATTACTCAGGCATAGCTAAGCAAATCATGACAATAAAGAGATAAGAAAACTGCATAGATAAATCAATGGAGTTCCAATCACAAGCTTGTAGAAGTCTTGAAATCTTCTCTCCAAAACTTTCTCTAATTTAGGTATTTAAAACAGAATAATAAAAATCTCTCTTTGCCGACAACACAATGGCAAAGCTAATATACTTAGATTAAAACTCGTTAGGAGTAGAATTGTAATTTGGTGAAGACTTGCGCTCCAAACTGTTTTAGCTAAAATCTTGTCCCTGCGTTTTACGCCCATCGTTCGATATCATGAGGTGTGCATGCATCGATCATGATCTCTTAATGTCGACCTCTCGGCCTGCTCGATGGTTAGTTCGAGTGAAATTCCCTTTGTCTCTAAAAGGACTCTAAAATTATCACTTTCTTCCAAATCACTCTTGAACCTATAAATATGCTATATTGACTTTAAAACATAATAATTAGATAATAAAACATGTATATACCATAGCTAAAAATGGGTAATATCAATGGCATATCATGGATCTAAGTAGAATTTCCCAGCAGAGAACATTTTGAGCCTTTGTTTTTCTTCTCAACTACTGAATTGGTATCTTAACACAAGTTTCCCCTGACGGATCAATGAAAGACTCACTCTTTTTCTGAAGTCTCTTCGTTATGCCGTTAGTCCTTGATCACCAGGTATCAGACCCCTGACTCACCGGTGCATTTTACAACAATTGTTTTTACCGTTGAACTTGTTGGGACGCTATCTGTATGGAACTCTTTATTCAGTTCAGTAGGTAACTTGGCAGAGCTTCATTCGTCATTGGGTCAATAGAACTAGAGATCACAAGACCTTTTTTCACTAACAGATCAGCTACAATAGCAATCTCAGTAACATATGTAGGGTCATATGTATCTAAAGAGACAGCATCTAAGACATGGCAGAGATTTTGAGCGTCCAAGTAGGTTGCTGACACCGTCGTTGGAGCATCAGAAGCTAGGGTAAATTGTTGAGCAACCAAATGGAGAGGTACATCTTTTGTTGGAGCAACTGAGACATGGCTAGACTGTTGAGCATCCAAAACGAGTGGCATCACCATCGCTGGAGTGTCCAAGACATTATGGACTTTAATACACTCTTTTCAATCTTTCAATTTTTGTTTGTTTAAGTTTTCTTTCTTTTCCAGGTTTGATTGGCCACTAGTTTAGTATGTGTTTGCGTTTCAATCCCAGTTAGTGTTTAGCATTTAGAAAGGAGGCAAATACATTAGGAATGGTAGACATGGAAAAAAGTAATTTAGTACACTAATAATCAAATAGAATGGGAAGGGAAGCCACACAAAATATCTCCAAACAAAATATCCTGATATCTCCATCTCAGCTCTCAATAATATCATCTCCAAAAGATAATAACCCAAAAGAATACAGTTCCGAAAGTAATAACAGTGGAACAAACAAACATCAACATGAAAACGAATGCAAGGAACAGCGAGCTAAAGGCTCCCGCTTAGATCATAAACCAAACGAGAACAGATCCAAATACCAAGCCTGTGACTGTCTTGCTTGCTCCATTCTGCAAAAGTACATAAGAGATTGGATCAGCATTACATTTTTATACAGAAGCATTTTTGTAATATGATGTTATAATTTCATCATAATTAATCTAAAATGAGAATTTTGAGAGCATTTATTAATCTGGGTTATCCTTTGAAAAGCATAGTGGTCCTAACATAAAGTAATTTTGCAGATTTTGAAGAGTTCCGTCATTCATGGATGCTTTTGGACTATTTGTTGACTCTTTTTTTTTTTGAAACATTTCTATATTTTTGATCAAACATTGCATTGAAATAAAAGTCCATCGTCTACACTCCATGGTCGGAGGACAGGTTCATCAATGTGAGGGCTACTATTGTTCACGTTCATACTGACAAGCTAACGTGACTCATGCACCCCACGCGCCACGACTCGAGTTCGAAGATCGAGACAGATGTAGCAACTGTCCGAAAATCAGCAAATAAAATACGGGCACAGATTAAAATCTCTTCCTAAAGTGCGCTTGCAACTGGCAACTGCTCAATTTATAACATACTAGGTTTCTTCCGCTAAATTGCGCTAATCATAATTTTCAAGAGTGAAGACCAGTTTTAGATCTAATCAGATGATCACCTTTTGCAAGCTCAACTCAGTGATTTTCAAAGTCAAAACATCTCAGATCTGAAACACATTGTACAGAATCCAAGTAGAGTGAGAAGAAAAGTTTACGGACCTGGTCATTCGAATCTGTGGAAGGTCCTGGGGAGAGCCCATCGATGCTTGGTCCAGGAGCATCAGTCGCCGGGGAAGGCGGGCTGGACGACGGAGAAGTGGAAGGAGAAGTGGAAGGAGCGTCTGGCTTTGGAGCAAGAGCTGGAACCTGAGCGGGAGGAGATGCAAGAGGAGCTGGAGGAGGAGTTGCTGGAGGAGGAGATGCGACGGGAGGGAGAGTTGCTGGAGGAGAAGAAGCGACTGGAGGAGAAGAAGAGACAGGAGGAGGAGTAGCAGGAGGAGGAGCGGTGGTGGTTGGAGGAGGAGAAGTTGTGACTGGTGGAGGAGCTGAGACAGGAGGAGGAGTCACTGCTGGTGGCGGAGTTGTTGTAGTGGGTGGTGCTGGTGTGGTGGTTGGTGGTGAAGATGGAGCTTGACCTCCGACGCCAGCGATGAGGACGATACAGATCGCAACAATGACGAATTGCCTAGCCATTTCTTTTTATTGCTTGAAGCGCACTCTCGGAGTGATGGTTCAGTGTAAAGAAAATGTCTAAAGAGGAAAGTGAATGAATTATTTATATAGAAAAAGATGTATAGCATCAAAACGCAGATACATAGCGTCGTATTGAAGCTATTTTAGTGTATAATACAAGTACAACCCATGATGCATGCCATGTGATAGTTGGCGGTGCTTGTAGATCCCTTGACACGTTGGCGAGTGAAAGACAAACAAATTATGATGGGATGTGTATGAGTTGTAATTATTGACATAAGGGTTAGAAGTTACTCTTATTTCCAAACATGTATACCCAACTTTAGCTTAGGTGTTTTAAGTAAGTAATAAACAAAAACATTCTGGATCTCACCCAATACATAATTATGGAAAACACCAAACAAACTTTAGAAAATGTTCACAGAGGGACAGAAAAAGGTGGCAAATTTGGTAAATAATATCCAAAACCGTGTGCTACAGTTGTTTGGTACCACCAGAGTTGGTAGACGATCCTTTATGCAAATCAAGAAATTAAGTCTTATCATCTGCAACAAACCGAATGTTTTATCAAAGTTTAAAGAAACGAATGTTTTTAAATGACAAAGATGTCAATTTTTACAAATTTTGGAATTAGTATTTATTTTTGACAACTTTTATTTTAGTGACTAGATTAAATATTTGTACATCTTCATAGGAGGGAACTCATATAGTTGATATATTCAAATTAACTTTTAAATAACGTTTTCAAATAAGAAAATCATTGTAGCACATAAAAATCGAATCCACATAGACTATGATCACACAATAAACTTATGGTTTTGGGTTAAGATATATCAAATGATAGAAATCAATAAATAGTAAAAAATAAAAGAGAACATTAAATCAACAGTTAGTAAAGCAGTAAGAAAAATCCCTAACCCAGTGATATCAAACACATAATCACAACTGAATCAATAGATGATATGATTTTTAGTAATTTTTTTTTAATATTTACTATTATTAAAACTACCCGAAATACGGGAATTCAATTCTCAAATACAAGTTTTAAATCACACAAAATTTTCCAAATCAAACATAACGACACTAGCTTTGTGCGCCAACCGCACCGACACGTTCCGCTAGAGCGCTCTACAATCCTTGGAATACCATCAACCATTCTCAGCCGACGATGATGACCACTTGAAGGGTGAGGTTTACCTCGTTGCTTCGGATGCCAGTTATTCTCGTGTCATCACCGGAGTAGCTTGTCTATGATGATCTCTTCTAACTTGCATTCTTGATTAACATTAAGCTCTAAAGTAAAATGGGAGATGTACAACGAACTTACAAAGAAAACCGGAGCCTTAAGAACCATCAGACCATGGATACAATGATGAGATGACTAGAGGCCAACCAACAAAGCGCATCCGAGAAACCACAGGCTGTAATGTCGACATAACCAAAATTCAAGAGCTTCAGTTCCTGCACAAGAAATAAAGATTAGTTTGCCAAAAAAGCCAAAGAGCCTCCATAGCACTAGGATGACCAATCTTCAACCAAGTCTCCACATCGTCAAAGTTCAACTGACTCAATCGTTCTCCTACACGACGTCTTCGTCCGAGTTGGAGAACCCAACACTAGTTTCCTACGCGCTGCTAGATACCATTGCTGGAAAAACAACAAGGATCTAAACCGCGAAACTTAAGCTTCTTAGAGCCACACTCAAGGCCCAAGACACTCAAAATTGATTCGTGGTGAGATGAGACAAACGGAGAGAAGCTGTTGTAGACTTTGATAGTCTGCCATAGACGACAAAGTTTCTCGGACCACTCAAGCTTCACAGCAAGATTCCTAGAGAAACTTTGACCACACAGCCACAAGGATCAACAGGTACATATCTTCAGAATCTAGAAGCCTCTGTTGAGACGTTGGCGAAACATGAACCCAAGACGAGACAGCAAGCCTCGGGACATGGAAAGCCTTGAAAACCTCTCCGCCAACGACCACTGCCGCTTAATCCGATAAAGAATAGAGAAGAGAGTCTCACTCGAGACCCCATGCGCCGACATGACCACAAACCAAGACGGGATCTACAAAACGGAAAACGAGATCTGCCGGAGTTTGTACCTTAAAAGCCGACTCCATCACACCACAGCCCCAACCATTTCGTTGGTTCTCCAGGAGGCAACCCAAACACCAGATATATTACTCCCCGGGAAGATCTAGGGTTCCAGCGTTGAGAGACTTCCCATAGAAACATACATACGAGAGAGATGGTGGAGAGGAAGAAAAGGGAAAAAGGAGGCGACAGAGAAATAGACACCTCCGACACCTGGAGCTAACGCACACCAGCACTGCCACCGGTGTCTCCGAGCGCCGGAGCGAGAACGAAACTTTTTCTTTTTTGACTTAGAGAGAAGGGAGAGAGAACGGAACTTTTTATTTTTTTTGTTTTGGTATGAATGTTATTAAGAGCAAGCCTAGAACTCAAATTTAATAGTAAGTTACTCAGCTCTCGCTGTATAAACTATCAAATTTCTAGTTCCTATTAAAAATCAACTCTCGTTGCATATTCAATTTACCAGACAAACATTAAACCCCAATTTGATATGTTCACCAAATCTCTAGACCAACTCTCGTTGCCAATGAGTACTTAGCTCAGCATGATCCAATTCAAGTAATCAACACTTTTTTGTCTACCAATTATCATAAAATCAAGTTTCTATAGTCAATTACTCTATAAACATGCATATATAGCAATCCAGCAAAGATGAAATTCAGATTACCCTAGCAGTATAGATTAATTATTTTCATAAATCCTAAAAAATCCCTAGATCTAAATGGTGAAGATCCTAGCAGCATAGATTAATTGTTTTCATAAACCCTAGAAAATCCTAGATCTAATAGGGTAATTATTTAGACATGATTAAAGAAGACATTATCAAATAGTGAATACGATGTATAAAAAGATGATAGATAGAAGACTGGAGGTCCAACTAAATCTATTAGGGAGTTCTGAAATTTCTCCCTAAATCTCTCTAAGTATAAATAAAACGTAGCCTAAACAGTGACTGAAAATAATATAATATAGGTTAAAATACGTTATGGTCTCTTCGGAAATATGGAAAACATTTGGCCCAACATGCATTAAACTCGAGTCAGTTTCTTTGAAAGGGACGGGGTCGAGCAACACGAAGGGTGGTGTCGATTGACACCATATGTAATATGCGGCTAAACTTCAACTTTTCAACATTTGTTCTTTTTATGTTCCAAATGTTTTCATAATCTCTAAAATGCTCCAAAAAATACTTGGACCTACAAAAAATCTAAAGCAGACTCGAAAGATAGATTAATAGACTCTAAAACCGGATTTATATCATGGTCAAAATACTAAAAACAAGGTATATCAGTAGTTCAAAAAGATTAGAGTTTTTGTACAAGGATATTAAAGTTTATCGTGGAGATGGCTTGGTACCCAAAAACAAAATTGTATATCCAAAAAAATAAATAAGATGTAAAAGTTTAACAAAAAAACAACATAGGGGGAATAGGTTTAACCAGAAAAAGCTAGAAGTGGCAAGCAGACTAAGTTTTAGAATCGTGGTTCAAATCTTGAAAAAAAAACATAGAGAATATTATTAATGAAAATGAAGAAGTTATTGTCAAACCGCTGAATAAATGAATTGATACTAAAAGAATTCGTCCAAATTTAACGCTCGATCAATATCAATAGAGTTCTGTGTTGTAGATAATAATCACTTCAAAATCATCCAAAGATGTGAGTCAGCTAGAGATGCATATGATACATTGATTAAGTATTTTGAGGAGATTCAAATGTCAAAAGGACATGTTTGAATCACTTGGCAGCCTAACTGCTAAGCTAGTCACCATTGTGAATGAATCATCAATGCTTGAAATACAAAGAAAAGAAAATGGTCAAGAAACTCCTCAGATGTCTTTCTTCCATATTTTTGTTTATAGAATAGTCATGAAAATAGAAAAGAACTCTAATGAGATAAAATTTGACATAGTTATTGGACTACTCAAAGATGCTAAGATGGAAAATACTAAGAATGCACCAAAATGTGTGAAATGCATTGCTTTTGAAGTGAATCAAGATGATGATAGACTGAAAAAAAACTTGAACAAAACTTAAGCTTAAAGCCAGAAAATTTCACAAAATTGCAACGACACAATTTAGATAAACCGATTTGGTTCAATAAATTAGAAATTTTAATTAAATCCTAAAGTATTCTCCTTCTTTTGTGAAGTGTGTGTATATCTATGCCTATGTGTATCAACTCTTATATTCCCTTCTTCGTAAAAACTCCAAAACATTTCCTCCATTATGCTAGCCAAAATAGAGAGCTACAGATTTTGCAAGAAGATAATGTTTTAGGATATTGGTAAGTGAGTTATCTTGTGAGAGATGCAACTGATGTTGCGTGGGATAGTATTAGGTATATAGAAATTTGTCAATAGCAAAATACAATCTCTTATATATTGATTGAGAAATATTACAATATTGGTTGTAGCCACGTGTTATCACAATAATGATTTTTAGAATCCTTAGAAAAATAATTTGGTCCATCTATATATAGAATTATATTTTTCTTATATGTTATATTTTTTATTTTAAAACGATTATAAATTGACCAATGGTTTATTTTTTTTATAACAAGATACAAACGATCATAAAATCATATGAATATAAAATTTCATTTAATTAAATAATAGTGTGTTTCCTTAAGATTTAATATCCAGGGGCATTCACAGCGGGTTAGAGGGTGTGGTATGTGCCTCACCCTATTTTTTTTGTTTTCATTAGTAATTAGTGTAAGTTTTTTCAAGTACATATATGTTAAGCTTTCAGTTATAAGAAAATAGTTATGTGCCACATACTATAGTTCATCTTGGATCCACCCATGTGTTAGAAAAGCTATGAATAGCTAAGAACATGAACTCACTCATTAAGAATGGAAGAGACAATCAACTTGTGATTGAATCCTCTCAGCAAAATAATCTACACAACCATCTGAATCTAGAGAGATTAAGTGGCTGTGAGATTGATATAAGAACTCTATAATTAAACTAAGAGCAG